AAATGGCTACTGTGAAAGGTGGACATGGGATCTCAGGGAGGGTGAGTATGATCTCTGGTCACAGAATCTCACTGTCTAAATATTCTGTATTAGTGTGCCTTTACAATATGATCTGAAAGTATGTGTTACCCCACCAGATACCTTACGTATAAGAAAGGAAGATGTGTTTATTCCCTTATCCTTTAAATCTTCATTTGCATTTGATTCACTTCCTGTGTACAAGAGAACATACGACACCAGCAAAAGGCAGTTGGGGGTAAGGTCAGCTAAGGAAGAAAAAGACCCAGCCAGAAGGCAGAGTGAGAAACACATGGCATGCCCTTAACATAAATGAACAGTAAAAAGATTGACTCCAAAGGTCAAACTGGGCTTTACTCAGCTGTGGAAATATGAAATAAAATGTAATCCTCACATTGTCAACTTTAGCCCATGCAAAGAGAAGGGAAATAAAAGTGGGGAGTCCACACAGATTTTGTGCTCTAGGACACTTGCTGTTCAGGACACACCTACTCACTATCAACTTCACCCACTTTCTCCACAGCAGAACTACCTGTCCTAAGCTAAGCATTGGGAACAGAGATAAGAACTCTGGATCAGGCTGCAGGGTACCTCAGGAATGAATGACGTAAATAGGGCATGCTATCCAAACAAGGCTGGGCTACTGAGCTCTGCACATACGGAGCATGTGGCTAATTTCAAAAGCTATGCACGTGGGTCACAGCTGGGGATGGGCTTCAGCACACTGGCTGGGACCCTATGTGCTGTTCTAGGCATCTGGAATAAATAAGAGAACACAAATGCTCCCCATCCCCTCATCTCATGAAGTTCACAGTCAGAGAGAGAGAGGGGAGAGAGAGAGAGAGCGCACAGATAGTAAACATAAGAAGATTATATAGTAGGTTTGATAGTAAATGCAAAAGCAGAGGGGCAGGTTACAGCAGGAAACAGGGTGTCCAGAGCCAGCTTCCATGAAGATCGGAGGACAGGTGTGAGTGTGTCAGCCAGATGGATGTCTGGGGAGGAGCTTTATGAGCAAAAGGGATAGAATACTGCCACAAAGTCAGGGAGAGACTTGATATCTTGCTTACTGGTCTCTTTTATCCTGGATTTCTTAGCACAAAGTAGGAACTCAGTTCACATTTACTGAAAGAATTTAAGGTTCTCAAATCCAAAATTATCCAATAAACTCACTCAATAGATCAGTCAGGGCTTCCTAAACTACTATATGCAAAAACGTACTAGCAGAAAATGTATTTTTCTTGAGAGGAGCCATTTATCAGATGTTCGCATTTTGGGGGGGGGGG